ACAATACACAGTATATAGTAACTACAAATGACATTTTTTTCCTTTTCCTTTTTAGTAGGTTATGGATAAAATATGGTAATTCTGATGGTTTAATAAAAAAAAATCGATTTTTGGAAATTACCAGGCGACCCCTCTTCATTGTCCTGCAACCCCTCAGGGGTCCCGACTCCTGCTTTGAGAACCACTACTGTAGACAATCGCAAACAAAATTAGCTTAAGGGGATAATAATATTGACCTTAAAATGGTGTTTAAAAAATTAAAAACTGCTTTTATTCTTGCCAAAATAAAACAAATAAGACTTTCTCCAGAAGAACAAATATTATCATGAACATTTCCTGAATCTGTTCAACATCATTTGTGAAATATTTAGAAAAGAAAAACATTTCAAAAGGGGCGAATAATCCTAACTTCAACTGTACATGGAGAGAGGACGAGAGAGTAAAAGAGTTTCTCTGCACTATAGGAAAATGTGTTTTTAACCATTGTTTGTTCAAATACAGACAAAACTGGGTTAAAAAGGGTTATTTAAATGTGATCTGAAAATTCAGCTAATGTTAGGTTTGTCCATATTTGACCCAGTATTGGTTTAATAGAGTGTGGATTTACTGGATTGATTAGGTTTGGGTTTGAATAAAATGTGTTTGTGTGTGTTATTCAATAAAAGTGTGACACCATTTCTTCTAAATACCAAACAGAAATGTTGTATTTTAAAGCATGATGTGTTTGCAAAAGAAAAACAATTGATCAGACAAACACTCTCATTTACTGATGCTGAAAATCAAGATCACTACAACACATGCTGATTTCTTCAAGAGACAGTTTAGAAGGAACATTTAATTCTCTCCTTTTGCAAATCTTGCAGTATTTCTTTCTGCTGAACACAAAAGATGTTACATTTAATTAAATTTAATTAATTTTTTAAACTGACATAATAGGGAAAGAAATGCTGCAGGTTTTCTAGCTTTCTTCATTACATCTTTATTTGTGTTCAGCTGAAGAAGGAAACTCAAAGTGGTTGGTGAAAACTGAAGGATAATAAATGATGACAGAATCTTCATCTTTTTCTGAACGGTCTCTTCAACTCTTCTGAAGGTAAAACAGTCTCAGCATGAACATAAACATGTCTGAGAACATGCAACTGTTTTAAAATGCTGAAGAAAATGCTCCATTTTACATTCTGTGTTAAATCATTTGATGAGTTGTCATGAATAGTTTGCTAAATTAATAAGAAAGTATGTGTTATGCAAAATCATAAATTGTAAATCCAGAGAAACTGATCATTTTAAAGTGCACTCTAATTAAATACTTGATTAATAATTATTAATAATTAAATACTTACAGGTAAAATATGGATAAACAGAAATGCTGGGTTAAATTTGGTCCTCTAAATTGAATTTGAATGTTTTGTTATTTTAAATTTAAGTGCATCTGACAAAATAAGAGTCCAACATCCTCCTTTAAATCTCCTATACATCTAATTTACCCAGCAGTTATTGAAATCCATATTTTACCCAAAATTGGCTTGAAATTCTTTCTCTTAATGTGTCATATGCTCAAATAATAAATAGAACAAATAAATAAATATGTAAAAAAGACATTATTTAAACTCTAGAAATTATTATGGGGTATTTCCACCCAATTTTGGGTGTGATAGGGACTAATGATCAAATTTAAGTCAATGTTTGCTGCGCATATTTGACCCAGTTTGGGTTAAAATAACCATTTTTAGTGTGTAAATATTCATTATTTAAACTCTAGAAGATATTATGGGTTATTACAACTCAATTATAATAGGGACTAGCCCAACTACTGGTTAATTTAAAAAAAATAAATGAATAGGATCTAGTTTAACCCAATGTTTGTTTTAGTCTATATTTGACCCAGTCTGGGTTGAAATAACCATTTTTTACAGTGTTAAAAGTGAATATTTACTAAACTCAAAAAAAAAAATTTAGTAAATCTATTGTGACTTGGAACTTTTAAGTTGATTTAACTTAATTTGTATGACTAATAATAGTTCAATTATTTAATCATTTTAAGGCAGCAGCTTTACTCACCTTTTTAAGTCAAGTCAACTAATATTCTTACAATGTATATAATTAGGTGTCAAATTACAAATGCTGTCATTTCAGGTGAACAAAATAACACACACACACACACACACACACACACACACAAACTTTGTGGACTTCATGAAAACGCACGCAGAGCTGATGAAGTCGACTCAAATCCTTTGTAGACGTCAACAACACTGAATCTCTTTCTGTTTCTTCTCACTCTCACCGAAACACTCACTCACACACACTTACTGACACGCTTGCCTGAAACTTGAGTGAAATTAACTTTGAGTCATTTCAACCTAAATTGCATTAAACTGACTCAAAACAGCTCGTTTGGATAGTTATGTTAAATAATAGTTGTTACTTGTACTGCTTGCCCTAAATTTTATTTAAATCAAATTAACTTTATTCAACTCATTTCAAAAGAAATAATTCATCTATTCAACTATTCACTCGTTCTCAAGTGGCTTTAAACCTTTATGAGTTTCTGAACACAAAATAAGATATTTAGAAGAATGCTGAAAACATGTAACCATTTACTTACATAGTAGAAAACAAAATGGAGATCAATGGTTACAGGTTTCCAACATTCTTTAAAATATCTACTTTTGTTTTCAACAGATAAAAAAGAAGCTCATAAAGGTTTGAAACAAGTAAAGGATAAGGAAAAGATCAAATATATTATATTATATTATATTATATTATATTATATTATATTATATTATATATTACATTAAACACAGTTAAAATAGCCTGATTAAAAGATAAACTTTTTTACAAAGCTTTATTTCATCATCAATAAGAGCTTCTGCCTGTGTTTGTGGCTTTGTTTGTTCGTTGAGTTTTCTCAGACGCTCTGTAAATTAATATCTGTTAATCAACCGTTTCTGTATTTTGTGATTCACAGGTGTTTATTTGCATTATGGGATGTTGATTTAATAATGAAAATTAGATATAAAGTGACTTTTATTGACATTTTAGTCATTTGCAATGATAAGCAACAATATGTAGAGAAGTGTGTAAAATAAGAGGAAATGTGCTGCAGTTGATTACAAGGTTTCTGTAGTGTAACACCAACACACACAACACAGCACTGCACACTGTTACACATGACAATAAAAGTCACTTTTTAGAGCTTTTCAAGGTTAAAAGGTATTAATAGAATGATAAATGTCCTATAATGCAATTCACAAGCAGAAATAAACAACATAAAAACACGAAATCTCTGGAGGAAGAACAACATTACAATCTACAATATCCCTAGATTAGCAGTTTTCTGTAATTTGTGATTCATGTTGTTTATTTCTGCTTTTGAACTGCATTATGGGACCTCAATCTTCCTCCAAAAACATTTAACCCTGGAGATAACAGTAGTCTTTTAATTATTTAATGTATAAGAAAAAAATATAGAGAGAAATAAGTCAGAAAATGTACTTCAGTAAGGTTACTGTGGTGTAATATACAACAGCAACACAGACAATACAGCACTGCAGACTATTACACATGGCAATAAAAGACCATTCTTAGAGCTTATTCAAGGTTAAGAGTTATTAGAAGAAACATCAAGCTATCATAATGCAATCCACAAGCAGAAATAAAAACATAAGAGCTTAAGATCTCTGCAGGAGGAAGAACAACATTACAAACTACAATATTCCTAGATTAGCAGTTTTCCATCATTTGTGAGTCATACTGTTTATACACAATAGTAGACACAACAGTAGTTTAATATAATATAATATAATATAATATATAAGAAGCAACAGAGAAGTCAGTAAATGTACTATAATATACAACACCAAGCCACACAATAGATCACAATAGATTTTAAAGATGAAGAAAGCTCAAGATCTCCTGATGCAGTTCACAAGCAGAAATAAACAACATGCTTTAGAAACAAAATAGGGAAATTTTAGGGATATTACAGGCTAGTTTATAATGTATTTATTTCTCTTGTTAAAAAAGTTATCAGAAGAAACATCAAGCTATCATCATGCAGTTCACAAGCAGAAATAAACGACAATATAAAATCTCTGGAGGAAGAACTACATTATAAACTAAATTATTAGCAGCTTTCCGTAATTTGTTATTTGTGTTGTTTATTTCTGGTCTTGAACTGCATTATGGGATTGATCTTTCCTCCAGCAACTTACTGATAAAAATTATTCAAAGATAATTCCTTGGATTTACTCAATTAGTTTTTTTTTTATGTTGAGTGGTTGTAAACATTTTATTTGGGCTGAATTTAAACAAACAAATTAAGGTTAGCAATATTAAACTTAATTTGTTTGTTTAAATTCAACGCAAATAAATTGTTTGTAACAGCTCTGCATGCAACACTTTCTTCAGTAATATAATGAATCAGATGCAATAGCCTATATAGAGAACGTTTATTACGACGTTTCTTGTGCCAAACAATACATCACTTCAGTCTAATGTTTTTAAAAAAGCCACATTTTAGAGCCTTTAAACAATAAAAGATTTTAGAAGAAAGCCCAAGATCTCATCATGCAATTCACAAGCAGAAATAAACAAAACAAAATACGGAAAACTGCTAATTTAGGGATATTATAGATTATTATTATAGACTATTTCTAATGTTCTTTCTCCGGTGTTAAAAGTTATTTGAAGAAACATCACACTATCATAATGCAATTCACAAGCTGAAATAAACCAGGAGGAGTAAAAACATGGATCGCGGAATTGGAAAAACTGCTCATTTAGCGACATTATAGTTCCTAATGTTCTTGTTTCTCCGTGTATTAATTTGCTGCCTGCGCCTTTAAGAGCGGACCCCCCCTCGGCTCATCTCAGCTGTCAATCACGCGTCGGCGCCTTTGATCTCCGCACTTCTAAAGCGCGACTGTTTGTTAGTTTGAGGCTCCGCATAAAGAAGTTTTCTCCACGCGCGCGAGGCTCAGACGCTGATGTGAGCGCGCCGAACGGGTACGAGCAGCACCGAAGAGACGTCTTGAGAAAGTTTGGATCATGCCGCAGCTGAACGGCGGAGGAGGCGACGACCTCGGCGCGAACGACGAGATGATCGCGTTTAAAGATGAAGGGGATCACGAGGAGAAGATCCGGGAGAGCGCGTTCACGGAGAGCGACCTGGCCGACCTCAAATCATCACTGGTCAGCGAGACCGAGATCAGCCAGAGCCCAGCCGTGAGTGTCCGAGTGTGTCTGTGTGTGTGAGAGAGAGAGAGTGTGTGTGTTTGTATGTGTCTGTGTGTGAGAGAAATTTTGTGTGTGTGTGTGTGTGTGTGTGTGTGTGTGTGTGACAGTGTATGAAAGCGTATGTGTGGGTGAGTTTGTGAGTGTTTTAGAGTGTGTGAGAAATTGTGTGTATTTGTGAGTGTGTCTGTCTGTGTGTGTGTGTGTGTGTGTGTGTGTGTGTGTGTGTGTGTGTGTGTGTGTGTGTGTGTGTGAGAGAATGCGAGTGTGTTTGTGTCTGTGAGTGTCAGAGTGTGTTTGTGAGCGTATGAAAGTGTGAGAAAGTGTGTGTTTCTCATTGTGTGCGTGTGTGTGCTTGTCTCTGTGTAAGTGTGTGTGTTAGTGAGAGTGTGTGTGAGTCTGTGTGAGAGTGAGCGTGTGTTTGTGTATGTCGGTGTGTGTGATTTATTTTTTTTATAAAGTGTGTTTGTGATGAACAGGTGATCAGAAGAGGACAGCAGGACGAGCAGAGAATCTACAGCGATAAACGAGAACATCTGGACGACGGTGAGTGACACACACACACACACACCTGAAAAAGACGGCTCACCCAAAAATGTAAATTGTCACCTTAACTCATCCTTCACTTGCTCTAAACTTGTATGAGTTTCTTTCTTCTGTTAAACACAAGAGAAGATGCTTTGAAGAATGTTGGAATCATTTTTTGACTTCCACAGTGTGTGTTTTTCCTACGATGTCTCTTCAGCATTCTTCAAAATCTCTTCTTTTGTGTTCAACTGAAGAAACTCATACATGTTTGGAAACACTTAAGGGGAGTAAATAATGAGTAAATGTTCAATTTTGTGTGAACTGACCCTTTAAGTGTGTTAAATGCCGCATAAATCACGCATCATGTTGCTGTCATTAGGAGATTTTACAGACTTTTATGTGCTTTAAAATCTGTGATAACTTTAGTGTGTGTGTGTGTGTGTGTGTGTGTGTCCTTGTTTACACAAATCAGTGCCTGTGGTTTTGCTTTGCTTTGTTTAGTTTACTTCAGTTTGGAGCCGGAGTAGCCCTCAGAAGTGTACTAAAGCTGGCAGCGTGAAGCACGCTCTACAGAGCTTTTATACTACAGTTTTCATATCTATTGAGACTTTTTTTTTAGAGTCATTTACAAATTACGCTGGGTTGCTTTAGTCAAGTATGAACACATTCAACTTTTAGGTTAAAAAGTGTGTTTAAAGTGTAGTTTTTAACCAGCATTGGATAAAAACAACCCAGGTGTTCTTGTAGAGTGTATTAGTTGGAATAAAAAGGGTATTTATTTTAATTTTTACCTGCATTGGGTAAAAAGTTTAGTTAAAAAGTGTATTTAAAGTGTAGTTTTTAACTAGCGTTGGGTAAAAACAACCCAATTGTTTCTGTTTAGTGTATTAGTTGGGTTAAAAAAGTGTGTTTAAAGTGTAGTTTTTACCCAGCATTGGGTAAAAAAACAACCCAGGTGTTCTTCTTTAGGGTGTTAGTTGGGTTAAAAAGTGTTGTTAAAGTGTAGTTTTTAACTAGTGTTGGGTAAAAACAACCCAGGTGTTTCTGTTTAGTGTATTAGTTGGGTTAAAAAAGGTATTTAATTTAAGTTTTTACCTGTATTGGGTAAAAACAACCCAGGTGTTTCTGTTTAGTGCATTAGTTGGGTTAAAAAAGTGTGTTTAAAGTGTAGTTTTTACCCAGCATTGGGTAAAAAAACAACCCAGGTGTTCTTCTTTAGGGTGTTAGTTGGGTTAAAAAGTGTTGTTAAAGTGTAGTTTTCACCTGTATTGGGTAAAAACAACCCAGGTGTTTTTGTAGAGTGTATTAGTTGGGTTAAAAAGTGTGTTTAAAGTGTAGTTTTGAACTGGTGTTGTGTAAAGCAGGTGTATTAGAGTGTATTGGAGCGTGTCCTCATGGCTGTGAGGTCATAGAGGTTCAATTGGGGGAAAATTTAAAAACTTTTTGTTTTGGTCTGAAATGTAACTGATGGACTTTTTTGGGGGAAAAACCTGAAATCTGCTTCATTTAAAGAGACAGTTCACCCATACATCCACATTTCCTCCTCATCCGCTCACTCTCAGGTGTTTCTGAAGGACGCTTAGAAACACTAAAGAAGATATCCTGAAGAAAGCTGGACGAAACAGTCCTGGACTTCAGTAGTAGGAACAGAAAATACTGTTGTTGTTTTCCGTCAGCATTCTTCAAAATATCTTCCTCTTGTGTTCACTAGAAGAAAGACCGTCTAACAGGTTTTGAACAAGAGTAAATGATGACAGAATTCACTTGTAGATCGTCTTTAAATCTGGCCTCTCTCGTTTCTTCAATCTTTATTTGATGCGTTTCCGCTAGTGGAACAGAAACTGCTTCTGAAGTGGATCCGTGATTGACAATATTCAGTTCAAGTGTATTTATTTATACAGCACACTTCATAATCACTGTCATTCTGAAGGAGCTTTACGAAACGGCACATTACTACAACACTATAGTCAAAATCAGAGAAGTGGAGAGCTGTGTATGGTTAGACAGTGTATATAAACAGAGCAAGCCTGCGGTTATCAGTGTGTATATATCATATCTCTCCAAAAAGCTGATGTTTATATGTGTATAATAGATGTTCAATGAAAACTGCCTTTCTTACTCAGAGTTCTGTCTTGTTTCTACTCCAAATATCGAAACATTCTTAAATCAAGAAGCATCTTCTAGACAATATCGTCTTGTTTTCAGAAATAATGAGTCTGTTAAATGAGTTTCCTTAAAGCGAAATAATCTTGTTTCCTTTTGAAATAGCATTACTTTTCTTCCCCCGTTTGCGGATTTTTTAGCTTGTTTTAAAGAAAAACACTTCTCTGAAAACAGCAATATATTAAGCTCGTCTAGAAAAGGGAAATATTAGATATTTGGACCAGAAACAAGATGAAAACCACACAAGAAAAGCATTTAGTGCAGTGTAAAGTGTGTATATGCTGTATATTTAACTAAATTCTGGAGATTTTTAAAAATTATGTTCAATCTACTTCAATTTGGTACGTTGACTTAATCGGTTTGTGTTGGGACAACATGAAGAAATGAAGTTAACTTGCTAGTTTTCACAAATTTAAGTGGACTGAACATAAAACATTTACGTTTCTCAACGAAATCTCCAGAATTGTGTTGTTTCAGCTTATTTTAAATGAACAAACAACAAAAAATTATTTACTAAGTGTAAAACAATCAAGAGAGGTCACTAAGAGCGGGAGAAAGATGAGGTGTGCTGTGTGTGTGTGTGGTTTGTGTTGTGTTTGTGAGCTTTATTGTGTTGTTAGTGAGGTTTGTGTTGAGTTTGTGAGCTTTATTGTGTTGTTAGTGAGCTTTATTGTGTTGTTTGTGAGCTTTATTGTGTTGTTTGTGAGCTTTATTGTGTTGTTAGTGAGGTTTGTGTTGAGTTTGTGAGCTTTATTGTGTTGTTAGTGAGCTTTATTGTGTTGTTTGTGAGCTTTATGTGAGGTTTGTGTTGAGTTTGTGAGCTTTATTGTGTTGTTAGTGAGCTTTATTGTGTTGTTTGTGAGCTTTATCGTGTTGTTTGTGAGCTTTATCGTGTTGTTTGTGAGCTTTATTGTGTTGTTAGTGAGGTTTGTGTTGAGTTTGTGAGCTTTATTGTGTTGTTTGTGAGCTTTATTGTGTTGTTAGTGAGGTTTATTGTGTTGTTTGTGAGCTTTATTGTGTTGTTAGTGAGGTTTGTGTTGAGTTTGTGAGCTTTATTGTGTTGTTAGTGAGCTTTATTGTGTTAGTGAGCTTTATTGTGTTGTTTGTGAGCTTTATTGTGTTGTTAGTGAGGTTTGTGTTGAGTTTGTGAGCTTTATTGTGTTGTTAGTGAGCTTTATTGTGTTGTTTGTGAGCTTTATTGTGTTGTTTGTGAGGTTTGTGTTGAGTTTGTGAGCTTTATTGTGTTGTTAGTGAGCTTTATTGTGTTGTTTGTGAGCTTTATTGTGTTGTTTGTGAGCTTTATTGTGTTGTTTGTGAGGTTTGTGTTGAGTTTGTGAGCTTTATTGTGTTGTTTGTGAGCTTTATTGTGTTGTTAGTGAGGTTTATTGTGTTGTTTGTGAGCTTTATTGTGTTGTTAGTGAGGTTTGTGTTGAGTTTGTGAGCTTTATTGTGTTGTTAGTGAGCTTTATTGTGTTAGTGAGCTTTATTGTGTTGTTTGTGAGCTTTATTGTGTTGTTAGTGAGGTTTGTGTTGAGTTTGTGAGCTTTATTGTGTTGTTAGTGAGCTTTATTGTGTTGTTTGTGAGCTTTATTGTGTTGTTAGTGAGGTTTGTGTTGAGTTTGTGAGCTTTATTGTGTTGTTTGTGAGCTTTATTGTGTTGTTTGTGAGGTTTGTTGTGTTTGTAAGGTTTATTGTGTTGTGTTGGTGAGGTGTATTGAGGTGTTTTGTATCTGTGTGGTTGTGTTTGTGCTGTATATTGTGTTGTTTTTGTGTGGTTTATTGTGTTGTTTGTGAGATTTGTCCTGTTTTTGTAAGGTATCTTGTATTGCGTTTGTCAGGTGTGTTGTGTGTGTGTGTGTGTGTGTGTGTGTGCTGTATTTTATGTTGTGTTTGTGAGCTATATTGTGCGGTGTTTGTGAGGTTTATTTTGTTGGGTTTGTGAGGTTTGTGAGCTATATTGTACTGTGTTTGTGAGGTTTGTGTTGCGTTTGTGCTGTATATTGTGTTTATGCTGTATATTGTATTCAGTTTGTGAGGTGTGTTGTATTTGTGAGGTTTACTGTTGCGTTTGTGAGGTTTGTGTTGTGTTTGTGCTGTGTATCATTGTTTTTGTGAGGTTTATTATGTATTGTTTGAGAGGTTTATTGTGTTGTGTTTGTGTGGTTGTGTTGTATTTGGGCTGTATATCATATTGTGTTTGTAAGGTTTAGTTTGTGCTGTATATTGTATTTCGTTTGTGATTTGTGTGTTGTGTTTGTGAGGTTTACTGCTTCATTTGTGAGGTTTATTGTGTTTGTTGTGTATCATATTGTTTTTATGAGGTTTGTGAGATTTATTATGTATTGTTTGATTTGTTTGAGAGGTATATTATGTTGGGTTTATGAGGTTTATTGTGTTGCGTTTGTGTGGTTGTATTGTATTTGGGCTGTATATCATATTGTTTTTGTAAGGTTTAGTATGTTTGTGCTGTATAGTGTGTTGTTTGAGCTGTATAGTGTGTTGTTTGTGCTGTATATTTTGTTGTTTGTGCTGTACAGTGTGTTGTTTGTGCTGTATAGTGTGTTGTTTGAGCTGTATAGTGTGTTGTTTGTGCTGTATAGTGTGTTGTTTGTGCTGTATAGTGTGTTGTTTGTGCTGTATAGTGTGTTGTTTGTGCTGTACAGTGTGTTGTTTGTGCTGTGTAGTGTGTTGTTTGTGCTGTATAGTGTGTTGTTTGTGCTGTATAGTGTGTTGTTTGTGCTGTATAGTGTGTTGTTTGTGAGGTGTGTGTTGTATATGTGAGGTTTACTGTTGTTTGTGAGGTTTATTGTGTTGTGTTTGTGTGTTGCAGTGCCCAAACATCACGATGGAGGGATGTATAAAGCGCCGTACTCCGGATACCCGTTCCTGATGCTGCCGGAGCCGTATCTGCCCAACGGACCCGTCTCTCCATCTGTAAGTTCATCATCATTAATATTGATGTTATTATGAAAGGCTTGTGTTCAGTATCGTCCACAATGACGATCACTGGGCTACGAGTGAAAACAGGACAGAGCGACGCCGCGGAGAGTCCCTTCACACCGCCTCAGATCCGTTAACCCTTACAGCACACTTTCACACACTTTCTGCTGTGTGTGTAGAGCTGCGGTGTAGATCTCTGTGCCCGCTTCATCAAAGTCCATCAGAAACGTAAGATAACCCTGACTCTAACACTTTAGTGCACAATTAACAAACTTTTAACTAACACTGCTAGCTTGATAAACTGCTCATTAGCTGCTTATGACGAGTTAGTAAGGTTGGGTTTAGGTGTTGGGGAGGATTAGGGATGCAGAATAAGATCAGACTTTATAATTACTTATGAACAGTCAGTATATTAATAATAAGCCAGTCGTGAATGGCGTGAATGTGACCCTTAACTAAAGTGTTCCCTTCACTTCTGAACACCCGTGTGTGTGTTCTCTAAGCGTTTCACTAGTGTCTGGCGACATACGGCAACAGGAGCCGTGGCTGCTGTAGTAACACACACAGATTTTAATGAACCACGAATGCGTGTCTTGCAATAACTCTGCTCTACCGGTCATCTGTGCCGTTGCGTTCTGTTAATCGATTGGAGACGTTCTCTTATTGAGTTGATTATGTATTGAGGAGCTCTAAAAGCGAGCTGGGGTCACGCAGAGCCTGCAATTACATGCGCATGCAGTCCTGCACAGCCGTGCTGTGGATGCGCTGTGTATATTAGATTGTTCATTAAATGATTTCGGTTTGTGTTTTTACAGTCATGCAAGTCTTTCATCTAAATCTGTATTTGGCTGAGAATGTTTGCATTTTCAGAGTCATTTGCTCATTTAAGAGAGCTGTTTTGGTCTTGGATTTGTCAAGGGGAAATGGCTGCTGAGGACTTTCTGTAGCAACTGTTTTTTTAATTTTTTTATTGAGCATATATAAACTATACAATTTCAATCAACAATATAAAAAAGGCTCTTTTTTGTGTAAATATACATACAAAACAAGGCAGAAAAGACAAACAATGTGGAAGTAGAATACAATTTTTGTAGCAAGAAGTACAATAAGAGTTTATATATATATATGAAAAAATTGAAGAAAATAAGTGTTTATACAGATACTGATTGTAAGAAGTCAATGAAGGGTTGCCAAATATTATAAAACCTGAGAGATTGTCCTTCAACAGATATCTAATTCTTTCTAAATGTAAAGTATTGGAGAGATCTCGAAGCCACATTTTGTCAGTAGGCATCGTTGGTCCTTTCCATGACATCAAAAGTCGTTGTTTTGCAGTAATAAGAGAGTAGGAAATGAACCGCTGTTGGGCGGAAGTAAATTTTCTAAATAACTCTGATGTGCCAAGAATAATCAACAATGGTTCAGGTAACAGTGTAGTCTTCAAAATTCTTGACAAAACATTAAATACATCAGACCAGTAGCTTGCGACCTTCAGGCAGGAAAAAAAAGCATGGAAAAGTGTTGCATTAAGGGACTGACATTAATCACAGTTGGATAAAGTGTTTGGGAAAATGTTGTGGATCTTTACTTTTGAAAAGTGAAGCCAATGTATAATTTTGAATTGTATAAGACGATGTCTCGTATTATAGGAGCAGGAGTGTATGTGTTCCAAAGATTCTTCCCAGATGTCATCAGAAATATGGGTACCCATGTCCTTCTCCCAGCTATCCTTACATCTATTGGATGAGGGGGGGGGGGGGGGTATTGTTTGTAATTTGTTATATATATTAGAGATAAATTTATTTTTATATGGGGATATAGTGCAACATTCATCAAGCATAGATTGTGGTTGTGTATCGAAATCTGGCATTAATGTAATCTCAAACCTGTAGATATCTAAAGAAATTATTATGTAATTTGAACTTTGTTTGCAATTGTGTAAAGGAAGCAAATTTACCCTGAATATACAGGTCACGGATACAACATAATCCTAATTTCCTCCAATTAGTAAACGTCAGATCTAAATTATAAGGGGGACAGGATGGATTTTCAGCAATTGGTATTTCTGTAGCAACTGTTAAGGGAACTCTTGGTTATTCATTCATTCATTTCTTGTCGTCTTAGTCCCTTTATTAATCAGGGGTCGCCACAGCAGAATGAACCGCCAACTTATCCAGCATATGTTTTAGGCAGCAGATGCCCTTCCAGCTGCAACCCACCACTGGGAAGCATCCATTCATCCACACACTCATTCACGCTCATACACTATGGACAATTTAGCCTACCCAGTTCCCCTATAGCACATGTGTTTGGACTGTGGGGGAAACCAGAGCACACGGAGGAAACCCACACCAACACGGGGAGAACATGCAAACTCCACATAGAAATGCCAACTGACTTAGCCGAGACTGGAACCAGCAACCTTCTTGCTGTGAGGGGATTGTTTCACCCACTGCGCCACCACATCACCCCGAAACACTTGATCATTCAGGAGAAATACCTAATGACAGCCTCAAATTCCTCGGGTTGACCCTTAGGGTTTTGTTCTTGCAACCCAAGTATTACTAAGGGTCCCCTTTAACCTTCAAGCTGAGGGATTTCTTGGATTAAGGACTTAACCTTTGTGTTTGTGTTGTCTTAGTATTCAGTATACACCATTAAACCCTTTGGGTCAGACTGGCCTGCCTTCATCAAACCTCTAAATAAAGCAGATCAGTTCATTTTCGATCCTGTAAAAATATGTCTACAGCAGGGAAATGAGAATTTCACTATTTTGTTGTTGACTTGAAATGTTCACCGGATGTTAGTGACAACCTCATAAATGCATATTAGCAAAGAAAACAAAACTAAGGATGAAGATGAAGCCAGGGTGGACATTTCAGCAGGACGATGATCCAAAACACAGCCAAGGAGACTCTCGGATGATATCAGAGAAAGAAAATCAAGCTGTAGAATGGCCCAGCCAATCACCTGATCCAAACCCAATAGAGAATACAGAATAAAGCTCAGATTTGATAGATGAGACCCACAGAAGCATCAAGATTTACACACTCTGATGAAGTCTGTGAGAAGCTCACCCCTGAGCAGTGCATGAGGCTTCATTCTCCACATGAGAGGCGGCTTTAGAAATAAGTTTTCTGAGAAAAATGGCGACATGTTGAATACTTATTTCCCTCACCGTATTCAGCATGAAGAAATGAGCTGATCTTCATCACAAACTCTGTGCAGGTTAATCCCTCAGCAGTGTGTAAACGCTCGTTTCTCACTACAGTACAGGCTGTGTTTCACCATGATGAAAGCACCTGCTGAAGTGTGAAGAGTTTAGCAGGAGAGTATTCAAAAGGACAAAGCAGCAGACTCTTGTGGGTGTGTGTTGTTGTGGTGGTGTGTGTGTGTGTGTGTGTGTGTGTGTGTGTGTTATGGGGGCTGTTGTTGTAGTGTGAAGGGGTGTGCGTATCAGTATTTATTTTAATGTAAAAAATGGTTTCATAGCTCAAAATTGACCTGAAGGATAACCGTTGTGCCCTAAATCCGTCCAATCTTCATGAAAAGAAACAATTATTTAGTTTAATTATTTAGATTATTATTATTATTTTAAATACTGTCAATATTACTTTTATTATTTAAAAATATTACTATTATTATCATTGTTTATTATTATCATTATTATTATTATTTTCATTATTATAATCATTTTAATATTATTATTATTTTATTATCCATTGCATTGTCTTGTATTGTATCTATTAGTATTTAGTGTTGTTGTTGTTGTTATCATTCATTTATTTAATTTTATTTATAATTATTGTCTTTATTTTATCATTATTATTTAAAAATATTACTATTATTATTTTAAATATTATTATATATTTTAAAATATTATTATTATTTTAGTAGTTGTTGTTGTTGTTGTTGTTGTTATTTTAATAAGATCATTGTTTATGATGATGATTATTATTATTATTATTATTATTATGATGATCTAGGTCTGTATAAACATTTGTCACAAAAACAAATGCCTCGTGAGTGTAAACATGCCTGCCTAAACTCCTCTGATTGTTATAATAGCATCTGATCTTCTTCTCCACGCCTAATCAACAGCTAAACCCGACCACTGCCCTACTGACAGTGAGTGACCGCTCACGAGTGCTGTCCTGATGCAGGAGTCCGTCAGAGCTTTATAATAGCATCAGTTGTACCTTAAAATAAAGTGATCTGTGCGGTTCAGTGTGCATCGCTCAAACTGCTCTCCTGGAGTTATACACTTGTAATCGCACAACTACGAATGCGTGTGTGTGTGTGTGTGTGTGTGTGATGTTAAAGTGTGATAAAGGTTGTAGGTGATGCTTTGGGACTCTATCGTGTCTGTCTGGAGAAAGTGATTGTCTGGTGTAAAGGTCACACACTGGCTTCTGTTGCACAGGTCTGTGCACTATGAATTTGATGATGGTGTGTGTGTGTGTGTGTGTGTGTGTGTGTGTGTGTGTGTGTGTGTGTGTATATATCCATAGTTGTTTGTGTGCTGTAAAAGAGGGATTGTGTAGCTCAAGATCAGAGATGTGTTGTTGTTGTTTTTGTTGTTGATGTCTTTGTGTGTTGTGTTTGTGTGAAGCGCTGGTCTGTTCACGCGTCCCGTCTTCAGCAGCAGCAGAACATCATCATCATCATCATCCTGGTATAATGGAGGATTTTGCTCCGTCCCAGAACACACTGAGATTACACTTCTGTCACAAGTAAAGGACAGGCTTTAATAATAATCAGGCAGCCGATTACAATACAGCAGTGTGTTTCTGTCCCCAGCGAAGTGTGTGTGTGTGTGTGTGTGTGTGTGGAGAATCTTAAAGGATATAATAGCTGAAATGTGGCTTTGTGTTTTAATCCGTCGGAGCGGCTCTGCTTTGAAGGAGATAAAGACACACACACTGGATTACAGCCTCCTTAAAGGATCATTCAGATGAGCAGTTAAAGACGTCTCCCTCGCTGCTCTGGACTGA